GAACTCTCTTGGTAAATAATAGACAGAAAATTACTGCCAAGAGGTCAATGTCTGGACTGCAATGACGACACTTCACAGTAACATGTCCTGGATGACACCATCTGTTGTTGACAAGCACTGCTAATCCACCTCCTTTCTTTTTCCCGCTGCTCTTTAAATCTCTGTCTGCTTGTATAGTCAGGAAGCCTGGCAGAGAGACATTGGAGTCAGGGACATGATCCTGCAGCCATGTCTCAGTGAAACACATAATACTGCATTCCCTATACTCTTGCTGAGTCCTTGTCAGGGCTTGAAGTTCATCCAGTTTGTTAGCTAACAATCTCATGTTGCCATTAGGATTGATGGAAGAGATGGTTTGAACTTCCCTCTTCTCTCTCACCTCTTTGCTTCTGCTCTACATCCACGATGCCTCCTTTTCAAGTCCTCTTGGCTTTGCGGCTTCAGTTCACGTATTATTTCAGATTTTGCAATAATAATCAGCTGCTCCCTGTTGCTATGGTTAAGCAAAGTATAAAAAAAGTTTTGTCAAAAATCAATCCAATTGCACAGCACCCAAAACTAAAACAGACATCCAAAAAAAGCAACTTTTTCCCCTGAAAGGCAGGAATTAAGGCCCAAAAACAAAAGAAAATCTTAGTGAAAGTAACAGCCACTACAACGCGCTGCCATCCTGAGCGGCGCCATTCCAGAAATTTAACCTCTACCAAATAACCTCTACTTTTCAAAACCTGACCAAGCTAAATTCTCAGCCAGGTCATCTCCTAATGCAAATGTTGATCTAATACTAAAGCCTCATAAGAGTCTGGGGTTCGAAACTCTCAAAGTTTTAAGAATTGAAACTAAACAATTGCCAGCATACTTGCAATTTTAATTTGCCAACTAATTTCTGACGGTGAAATACAACCTGTTGCCACAATAACCTTTAGCTTCTGAAAGATTTTTCAAAGTTCTCATCTATTTCATGTATCATACATATGCCTTGTCCTTCCAAGAGTCTATTTAACAACTATTTTATTTCCTCCTGCAGGCTTAATGGAGATAAACACATCAACATCACAAATCATGGTATGAAATAAATAACTGTGAGCTAATTTGTTAAATACTATAGGACTCAAATTTCAGTGATTTCATATCCTGTAGATGAATGTGTTTGTTGTAAACTTTGGGAAATGTTTTGTGTGCAGCCAACACACCGCAGGGGAAGGAGCCTCTCTGAGGCCTTGACCCTGGACCAATCTGAGGAGGGTGGACTGTTCATTTCCAACATCAACAGCTCCTCACAAAGACAGGACCTGAAAGAAGGTTTGAGCTCTGACTTAAATTTGTCAGTTTTCCCATATTGTTTTTTAAACATTAGGCATCTTCATCATTGTCATATTTTTTATTTTCAAACATATAAAAAATCAAAAACCACAATAGAATTTTTTCATAAATATTTGTTTGAAAAAGGA